GAGGAAATATAATCGGGATCACATTTTATCACCCAAATTCAGTTCTTTTTATATGGTAATTAATGATCTATACCTACTCTAAAGCACTGAGGTCAAAAACAGAACTTCCAGCACTTGTTTGTACTACGTGTGCCACTTATTCACAATGGTGGAGTCTGGTAACACTATAATTTCAAAGGTTGACATCTCGGAGAATGGATGGTCCTCAAAGCATGTAAAGCAGGGATAATTAATATATGTACACAAGTATGCAATCTTTCAGGTGAATATTTCAACACTCCGGCCGATTATCTCTTATCCAAACACAGTTGTTGAGGCCAATCACCAGGAATTAGCCTGATAAGAAGTGTATTTGGGGCTTAGCCCTACCTCAGAGGCTGATAAGGTTTAACTGGAGTGAAGTCACAATAGATATAATATTATAACTGTATGTGGATTATACAACAGACTTGAATGTCAATGTGATTGCTCGTCATGCCAAAGGCCCGGGTTCGATTCCCCACATGGGTACAATGTGTAAAGCCCATTTCTGGTGTCCCTGCCATGATATTGCTGGAATATTGCTAAAAACGGCAGTAAACTAAACTCACTCATTGTTTGCTGATCACATACAGTCATAATAGTGAGTAAGTTTAGTTTTACGCCGCATTCAGCAATATTCCAGCAATATGGTGCCGGTCTGTAAATAATTGAGTCTGCACCAGACAATCCAGTGATCAACAGCATGTGCATCAATCTGCACAATTGGGAACCGATGACATGTGTCAACCAAGTCAGTGAGCCTGACCACTCGATCCTGTTAGTTGCCTCTTACGACAAGCATGTGTTACTGAAGATCAATTTCTAACCCATATCTTCACGGGTCTTTGCATTCTGAAGTGAATATTAACACAGATGTCATACTGAGCACACATACATACACACAAGCAAACATAAAATACATATGTAACAACATACATACAATAGCTGAGTCATACTGAGTACGAGAGCCCAACCCCCACCTCCCCACATATATGTGCCTGCAGGGAAAAATGCTTGTGCAAACAACCAACTAATTAGGATCTGTCTCACACCAGAGACCTTGACAATGCATCAGAGACCTTGACAACGCATCAGAGAACTTGACAACGCATCAGAGAACTTGACAACACATCAGAGACCTTGACAATGCGTCAGAGAACTTGACAACGCATCAGAGAACTTGACAACGCATCAGAGAACAATATGAGAACATAGACTAGAATGATTCGGCTCAGTGCCAAATGAATGACTGCAAAATGCAAATATCCTAAGACAACTAACAAAAACCTGTATATAATTAGACAGTTACTATGCGTGAATAATATACCCATCAACATCAACATAAAGCAACTTTATGTGCTACACCTGCTGCTGTTCCGTATAGCATCCCTATATTTGATGCCATGTATTCCTCAAACAGTGAGTGAGTGAGTTTAGTTTTACGCCACTTTAACAATATCATGGCAGGGGACACCAGAAATGGGCTTCACACATTGCACCCATGTGGGGAATCGAACCCGGGTCTTTGGGATGACGAGCAAACGCTTTAACCACTAGGCTACTCCACCGGCCCGAACAGAGACAGACAGGTAGGCAGACAGACACATACATGAACGAGGAGGATTTCGAACACATGTGATCATTATATTCCCGCTGGTTATTATTGCCTGATTCCTGTCTTTTAATCGGATCGACCATGTTGCTCAAGCCTGCATGCTAATCACTGCGTGGTTCCCCAAGGAGCGACCCGTTTTCAGGTAGACTTGCATAAGGAAGAGTGAAGAAGACTGCTTTTAGCAATATTCCAGCAATATCACGGCAGGGGACACCAGAAATGGGCTTCACTCATTGTACCCATGTGGGGATTCGAACCCGGGTCTTTGGCGTGACGAGCCAACGCTTTAACCACTAGACTACCCCACCGCCCCGCCATCTTAGGAGGGGGTTAGATATGAGGCTGAATGATGTGGAGATAATTGTAAGTCTTGTATTGTACACGTTTGTACTCTAGTTCGGGGTTGGTAAAAGTACTTTATTCAATAGCAGAAAACAACATTATAGCAGCAATCAGACCGTGTCAGAATTGAACGCCCTGGATCCTTTTGAATTTATAAATAATCGAACGTACCGTGTTTCATTCAATAACCTACCACTAATTATACCTAGTATAAATTCATTAACTAATCATCAAGTGATCTGTCTGTCACATTTCATCACAAGGGTAAGAGTTCCTCCTGTTCCCCCATCCCAAATAATATTTATAAATACATATATACTACCTTCAGTTATACAGACTATTCATGTTATGGGAGAACAATAATATTAAGTTATTTTATCATATTTAGTAACGAATATCGCGACTTGATGTTTATGAACTCAAGAGATAGGTCTATCGACAGACTGAAATACAGATTAACAGAGAGACATACTAGCACTGGAGGAACAGAAGATCGATAAGTAAATGGATGGGCGGATGGACTGACTGACTGACTGAGTTTGGTTTTACGCCGCTTTTAGCAATATTCCAATATTCCGGATGGGTGGATGGATGAATTGGTGGCAGATGAATGTTTGGGTGGGTGGGTGTGTAGATGGATGGACAGATGGATGGATGGATGGATAGATTGGCACTTAAGGAATATAACAAAAAGAGCGAGATACAACTGGGTATATATAGCTGATGCATATTGTGACCCGTCTGTCGGTTTATTTGATGCAAATGTTACACAACGTGACAGGTCACGCCACATTGTTAATTGTGTGTCGATGTAGCTTGCCTTCAGCACCATCCCGTTAACAACGTGTATCGATTGAGCACACGTATTTCAATCATCACTGTTGGGTCACCTTATTAAAATACATTTGTCATCATCAGCAGTTACATCAATCCTTACCTCAAACGTTCTACGATTATTTCATCCTCTGTTATTCTGGCCCATGAACCAAGCAACGAATCTCTGCACCAGCTGTAGGCCTTTTGCCTAACATTGGGAGTAACAACCTTCTCGCTTACAACAACGCCGACATTGGGAGTAACATCCTTCTCGCTTACAACAATGCCGACATTGGGAGTAACATCCTTCTCGCTTACAACAACGCCGACATTGGGAGGATCCCTCTCGTATACAACAACGCCTTCCATTGCAACTCACCTCTGCGAATACCGAACGGCGAGGCCAGTATACCTATATACCTACCCTAAATTTTAAAAAGGGGTAATCGGAACCACAACATATTTTTTATTTGGCCTAAAATACATACGTAACAACATACGTAACAATATACCTACAACAGTTGAGTCATACTGAGTACAATAGGCGTGGATAATATTAACATCAACATAAAGCAACTTTATCAGCCACATCTGCTGCTGTTCCGCATAGCATCCCTATATTTGATGCCATGCATTCCTCAAACAGTGAGTGAGTTTAATTTTATGCCGCTTTAACAATATCATGGCAGGGGACACCAGAAATGGGCTTCACACATTGCTACCATGTGGGGAATCAAACCCAGGTCTTTGGGATGACGAGCAAACGCTTTAACCACTAGGCTACCTCACCGTCCCCATCATAACATATAGCCACATCAGATTTATAAGACAATCGAAAACTGAATAATTACCCCTGACAGTGACATGAGAAAAGCTACATGGGAACCTTTGTCAGGTAATCTGAGTGGTGTTACCTCTAATTATACCTAGTATAAATTCATTATCGAATCATCAAGTGATCTGTCTGTCACATTTCATTCCTAGTTTTCTCATGCACCCCCTCTATACACATCAGGCATATAGGTGTCTTGTGAAAAGAGAACAGACAAAAATCATTATAAAACAAGTCCAAATCCTTTCTCAGTGACCGTAAATGGAAAGTTATTTAAATACAATATACACTAAACATTATATCTACAAGAAAGTATTGCTATGGAAACAGGCATAGACAGCTTTAAAAGCTTCATATTCAGTTCTACAGTACTCAACACCATGTCCAATGGCCCATCAAATTCACTTAAATCAAGTGACACACTTTAGAGATCTTAGCTAAAAGATAACATTGTCATTGTTGCAAAGCATGGAAACTGAACTAATACATCACAAAAAGTCATTAAATATGCAATCAAAACTTAGCATTTTCCACATATTCAATACATTTACATTGAAAGCTACATAAACTATGCAATATAACATTGTATAACATGGTATATGGATTGATAATTAGCATATTATAACCATGTTTATTCAACATTCAGTGAACCAATTGTACCAAATTTTAATTCATATGAATATCTCATCTATATCAACCATAATCCTGAGGACTTACTCCTGCATAGAATGTTAATAAGCTCTTGTGAAGTTATCGTCTACAAGATATATGGATTACACAAGTTGAGAAACTTCTGGTCACAAACAATAATTTTACAGTGAATATATTTTTTCAGTTATCAAGACTATTCATCTGAACACTTATGGGAGATCAATAATATTTGTTATTTTAATTCTATATTTAGTGATGAATGTCATGACTGGATGTACATAAACTCAGTGATAGGTCTGTTAACAGACTGAAATATAGATTAACAGAGAGACATACTAGCACTGGAAGAATATAAGATAGATAAATAAAATGATGATTGGAAGAATATTTGGGTGGGTGGGTGTGTAGATGGATGGACAGATGGATGGATGGACAGATGGATGGAAGGACAGTCTAGCACTTAAGGAATATAACAAAACGACTGAGATACAACTGGGTATATATAGTTGACGTATTTTGTGACCCGCCTGTCGGTTTATTTGATGCAAATGTTACACAACGTGACAGGTCACGCCACATTGTTAATTGTGTGTCGATATAGCTCGCCTTCAGCACCATCCCATTAACAACGTGTATCGATTGAGCGCACGTATTTCAATCATCACTGTTGGGTCACCTTATTAAAATACATTCGTCATGATCAGCAGTTACTTCAATCCTTACCTCAAATGTTTTACGATTATTTCATCCACTGTTATTTTGGCCCATGAACCATGCAACGAATCTCTGCACCAGCTGTAGGCCTTTTGCCTAACATCCCTCTCGCTTACAACACCGCCTTCCATTGTCAACTCGCCTCTGCGAATACCGAACAGCGAGGCCAGTATACGTAGAATCTTCTTCCACGTGCTTAACAATATAGGTAGCATAGTCAATCCAGGGAGGTCAAAGTTCGCGGGCAACACCTGGCCCAGATAAAATTTGATAAACACAAGCATGGAAATAGTTGCTTCTAAACCCACATCACTGTATCCGGCAAGGGGAGTAACTCTAATATCTGCAATCTTCAGAGAGTTCCAATAATGGCACCGAATCAACTATGGTATTCACTGTCGTTCGAAGACGAAAATGTTGAGTTGACTTCTGTCGGAGTAAAAATCAATATACATCGACCGCGTTGTGAATACATTTAGACATATAAAACTCGGAATATGAACCGTGAATATGTCAGGTTCTGATTTTATAAAAAAAACGTGTCAATTGCAGCTGTCATCAATTGTTAATGCTCACTTGCGGAAAAGCTGTAAATTCCATGCTGTGTTTTAACAGATGTTTATACATACATGGTGTTATATGCCAACTACTTAGAGATCAGTTGGATAGAAAACAAAATACACCGAAAACAACGTTTCAAAAGTGTGTTTAAAGGAAGATTTAGGCGTCTTAGGGAAAACCCAGTGTAAGCAATAAATGCGCAGAACAACATTGCGCAATTGGCTGTTGAAATGGGTGACTTCTCGTGATACGACGTAAATAGGACACGTCGTCCAAACCACGTCGATGTATATAACATAAGGGGCTTGCCGAATTACGAATGACCGGAACTGATGGCAGAAAGTGAGTTATTTCATTGTAGTAGTATTCGCGAATTTTGTGTAAGCCAAATATGGATACTTATGTTGATAATTGTTTCATTTGTAAATATAGTATCACAATACCCACGTTAAAATAACATGTATTAACAGAATTAATATAACAAATTGAAAAATAAATGTCAATTCATCATAAAATTATAGTTGAGGACAGTTAGATTTTCTAAATTTGTGTATGATCTATTTGTAACCTAATTAAGAGGCATTTATGGAAGTTGGAACAGTAAGGACGGATAACATTATGTGAAAGCACAACTTTTTTATTACAGTGAGAGAAAGAAGTTCTTCATCACCATATTGTTATAATTCCTTGATCTATTTGTACAGTGTATTAAGACAATGAACTATGACGTCGAAAGCATTTTGGGAGACCCGGCCCAGCACATGTCCATTCTCATTGTGGGGCGGTGGCGTAGCTTAGTGGTTAAAGCGTTCGCTCGTCACGCCGAAGGCCCGGGTTCGATTCCCCACATGGGTACAATGTGTGAAGCCCATTTCTGGTGTCCCCCGCCGTGATATTGCTGGAATATTGCTAGAAACGGCGTAAAACCATACTCAGTCATTCATTCTTATTGTTCTTAATATTCCCGTGGAAATCTCTGGGATGAAAATATCGAAGTATCCCATCTTCTTGTAGATAAAGGAGAAGGCAATGCATTTTCATAAATCATAGTGAGTGAGTTTAGTTTTACGCCGTATCAGTAACCACCTACATGTAAATGGGGGCTGTCTGTAAATTTATCGCGTCTGGACCAGACAATCCAGTGATCAAGAGCATGAGCATCGATCTACGCAACTGGCTGATAGGGCAGTCCGTACTGTAGTTTTGTCAGCCTTCCATGGGCCCCGATGGCCCAGTTGTCTGAGTCGCAGTTATTCACTGTGGGTCGCAAGGGCACAGTTATTGAGTGAGTGATTATAGTTTTACGCCGCTTTTAGCAATATTCCAGCAATATCACGACGGTGGACACCAGAAATGGGCTTCACACATTGCATCCATGTGGGGAAGCGAAACCAGGTCTTCGGCGTGACGAGCAAAAGCTTTAACCACTAGGCTACCCCACCCGCAAGGGAGCAACAGAAACCTATGCTTGTTGGTTCGAATCCCTGTCTGCTCCGATTATATACTTCTTTTCAATAGAGTAGACTCACTTAAAACACTCACTATATGTTATGTATATATATATGGTTACATCGAAGATTGAGTCCACAAACTTGGGGGAACCAACTGCAATCTTTAAGCAGCTGAATTGCACGAGGATCATGCATCAAATTGCTGAAAAACATGTGCAAATATCGTGCATGTGAACAGCTGTGTTGTGGTGTAAAGTTTTGTTAAGAATTCGCCAATTTTCACTGATTTACATCATTTACTGAAGGCGTGACAATAATTTCTTTGAACGTTACGAATTTGTTTTACAATACATCAGTTCATGTGTAAACAGTACCTTTAAACAGTTGCCTGAAGTAAGTGGGTATATTTACACTAGTGATTCTAAACTTTTGATGGGAAGTATATTTTTGACTTGTGAGCACCATCCCCATGTTCGTGGGTTTCACAAAGTGTTTAACATCAAAGACCCGTCTAACACTAGACTTTCATCCCATATGAGGGGCTGTGGGGTAGCCTAATGGTTAAAGCGTCCGCTCGTTACCCCGAAGACCCGGGTTCGATTTCCCCACATGGGTACAGTGTGTTAAGCCCATTTCTGGTGTTCCCCGCTGTGATATTGCTGGAATATTGCTAAAAGCGGCGTAAAACCATACTCACTCACTCACTCACTCCTGAATCCGGCATGCCATGCTATAACTCGAACACTGTTCAAAACGGCTTCAAACACAACTCACTCTCGAATTACTGAATCAGTAGGTTATTAATCGCTTAGCAGCATTTCAGCAATATCACGCCCGTTGCTGCCAGAAACTGGCTCTACACATTGTACCAATGTGGAGAATCTAACCCAGACCGTGCATGTGAGGATCTTTAGCCGCTAAGCTATCCCACACTGCCCCTTTAACAATTCCTGCGTAAGATATTCACTACAGAATGATTCAAACCAAATGTAGGTCATCCGTGAATCAGAATACTCAATAGGTCATTGACATTTCTCATCCTTTATGTGGGTAACATAGGGGAACACGCCCACCTTGTGTCTGACGCTCTCTGTATCTATCTCTCTCTATATTCCGTTGAGCTGTTAACAGAGTGTATATGTCTCTCTATCTCTCTCTTTATCCCGTTGAGCTGTTAACACAGTGTATATACATGTACATGTATCTCTATATATCTCTTAGACTAACAACTTGTCTCTGAAATGAACATATTTTACTGAAAAAAGTTCATAGTAAAAAAATAATATATATATATAATGAAAAGGAGCCCTGAGACTTTCTTCATTTTCAGAAGCTGAGGAAATCTAGACTTGCCACATTTTCTACACTTGTGTGGGCTTTCTTGGATATATTTGCTTCAGGGTCTGTACGACAGACTATATATCTCTCTCTATATCCCGTTGAGCTGTTAACTCAGTGTATATATCTCTATATCTCTCTATATATCCCGCTGAGCTGTTAACTCAGTGTATATATCTCTATATCTCTCTATATATCCCGTTGAGCTGTTAACTCAGTGTATATATCTCTATATATCCCGTTGAGCTGTTAACACAGTGTATATACATGTATCTCTCTATATATCTCGTTGAGCAGTTAACTCAGTGTATATATCTCTCTATATATCCCGTTGAGCTGTTAACTTAGTGTATATGTCTCTCTATCTCTCTCTATATCCCGTTGAGTGAGTGAGTAGGGTTTTACGCCGCTTTTAGCAATATTCCAGCAATATCACGGCGGTGTACACCAGAAATGAGCTTCACACATTGTGCCCATGTGGGGAATCGAACCCGGGTCTTCGGCGTGACGGGCCAACGCTTTAACCATTAGGCTACCCCACTGCCCCTATATCCCGTTGAGCTGTTAACACAGTGTATATATCTCTATCTCTCTATATATCCCGTTGAGCTGTTAACACAGTGTATATATATCCATCTCTCTCTATATATCCCGTTGAGCTGTCAACACAGTGTATATATATCTATATCTCTCAGTATATCCCGTTGAGCTGTTAACACAGTGTATATATATCTATATCTCTCAGTATATCCCGTTGAGCTGTCAGTACAGTGTATATATACGTGACAGACAGATGATTTCGACAGTGTTGACAACTAAATGGGATCTCATGATATCTTGCTTGTTTATCGCTGCACTCAACAATATTCCAGCTATATGACGGCGTTTTGTAAGCAACATGTTTTACCACACCATTCTCTATAACTCGGATTCGCTCACATTTACAATGACACTGCGTCAAAATGTTTCAAAAGAAACAAAACTCGTCTGATATCACCAGATGGCGGCCACATGAATACTTGCAAACACCTAGTTGCGGGTACAGCAACGTGCAGTAAACTTGGACAAAGTACTGTGACTATGTGTCCCAGTCCACCCGCCAAGTGGCTGCAAGAGTTGTATGATCCCCAGGGGGTTGAGACTGATAAGACGATGCTGTTGAGATTGACATCCAGTGATCGAGGGGAAAATACCAGCGCCTTGAGCATGTATAACGTGGAAATGTGACACTGTCATTGGTTATCCATGGCTAGCTTCGGTTATGCCAGGTCTACCAGATTGTCCAGCACTGGCATTGCCGACGTTACCATATAACGTATAATATATAAAGTGCACTTGCTTGTCTGATGTCAGCACAAGGCTACCTAGGCCTATATTGCAGGAATACATAGTTATGGAAAAGGTGAGTGAGTGAGTGTGTATGGGTTTACGCCGCTTTTAGCAATATTCCAGCAACATCGAGGCGGGGGACACCTGAAATGGGCTTCACACAGTGTACCCATGTGGGGAATCGAACCCGGGCCTTTGTCGTGACGAGCCAACGCTTTAACCACTAGGCTACCCCACCGCCCTTATGGAAAAGGTGAGGTGAGGTGAAATTGGGTTTAACGTCGTGCTTGAGAATATTTCGCTCATATGACGACGTGCATGCGTGTGTATGTGTATGTGCGGCTGCTTGTACTAGCCCAGACTTAAGCTGGTTTTATAGTGCTAGCCCACTGAGATACCATGCCGCAGTGAAGCATGAATGCCCCACTCAGACACATTATACTGACTCGGAGCCGAACAGTCCTTGTTGCACCCATTAATGCCGAGCGCCAGGCCGGGACCAACAAGTACGGACGCTCTTACCACTACACCACGGAGGCGGTCTATGGAAAGGTGATGTAGGGAAATGTAAAACCGAAACGGCAATGAAACGATACGCGCACATTAGTAAGCTTAATGTGCATAAAGTGGAATGAATAGATTGCTTGATTTA